TTAATCACACTTGGGTTGATTTTACCCACCCAACTTGACAGTCCAAGAAGGATTTACTCAGCATTTACCTGGAATCCACCCAACTGAGGCGAATAACATCGACCCAAGTGTTGGCTAATTCATGGCGCGAGGTGGGGCGTTTGAAGCTCAATTGGTTTAGAGCGTTGACTTTCGGTAAAGGCCTTCTCTACTGTGTGGGTCCAAGGCCCGCCGAACGCCCCGAGTTTTTTACAATTGGTCAACTCAAATTAAGCAAATGAAATAGTCCTTCCATTCTCATTAGCCCTCATCATGAGCCCGTCATAGCCAAACCCAAATACTGAACCACGCGAAGTCCGAACCTGTGACCCGTTGATCAAAGGTCTCGCGCACTAACAATTTATCCTGGGTTCGGTTTCTCGCGGGCTTAGATCAAGAATTTTCGTTGGTCAACGCTCACCGATCGCCAACGAAAGTCGATCGTCCTGTTCTGTCTTGGCAGTCCTCTCTGGAGGCATGCCAGTAGCCGCAGATTTGCTAATAATATACGCAGATTAACACTGTCAGTAAAGGTAGTTAATCAGCTGGATAGGAATTACTTACTTATCGGCCATTATTTGTCAGTTACATCCAAACGCACAAGTTGCACTACCGTAGGTTCAAGTCCACCACATGGTGTCTAAAGTTTTACCCATCGATTCTGCAATATACTCGTTCCGTTTTGCCTGGGAAAGCGCTCTAGAGCCCCGTTCGCAGCCGCACACCGGCAGCTAGTTTAGACTGTGGAACATTGCGGGCAAAGACTAGGGAGACCGCAAATGCAGTTGCTAGCTCATTTGTCGTCATCATCCGGTAATACGCATTTGTGAGTTACATTCCGCTTGCTATATGTAAAATTATATTTTTAGCCGTAAGCATTAAATGAATGTTAAAAATTAATATGTTCTGTCTACGATAATACAAAATCGTTTTTGTTTTTCAGGCTGACTGGTTTTGGTGCAATGAACAGGAAGACGAAAAGGTGAATTTCAATCAGTAAATGTAGCATGCAGCTTCCTTTATTACCTGGGCCCGTTTACAAGTGACATGTTATGTCTAGTGTCAATGGAATTCTAAGTCGGTTAAATAGTCAGCATCCATCAAATTGCCTCATTACAATCTGAAATAATGAACCTGATATGGTAGATAAGAAATTAAATAATGTATTTCGTTATCATTCAGGAATATATGTGATGTTCAAATAATTCGTAACTTGAAGGGCCGTACGCTTAATAGTGTAGGTTGAATCTAATATTTTGTTTGATAAAACAATGTTACTGTATAAATTGCCCAAGACGCTTCCGCAAGTCTTCGTTAGACACTCCAACTATGTGCCAGAAATGCTAACACTTTCATTTTTAAGAAGGTCCATATATGTTTGTCGTTCAAGCTGGAAAACGGTCGTCACGTTTTTCATGTGTTATTATTGAATGTGGTCTCCTGCATTTCTAACCTAGATTTATATATAAGACATTCGTGTGAATATGCCGTTTGATTTAGTTCAGGTTTATTAATAGAGAGATATACAAATAATTTTGGGATCCATGTGCCCTATAATATAGCTTGATTGTTAGTTCCAGCCTTCAATCACCCGACGAAGAAAAATGTTGGCCAACAGTTCAACTTTGACATAATACTCCTTTTGTTTGTAACTAAAGAGATTTGGCGTTTTTATCGAGTAAAAAACAACCATCGGCATAACACGTTCTGCGCCTCGAACAAGTCAGAATGCCATGGCCTTTCCAACCCCGTAATACTCATGAGAGAAAGGAGCGTTTTAAAACCTACTGGTCGGTAGACATTCGAAGCCGCAAACTAATTTGGTCGAACTTTCATGAATTTTCTCGAGCAGCGCATACTCTTGATTCATCCAGGGGCAATCACGCCTGAACTAAAACCGTAACGTAAATTAAACTAATAAACTAAATAACGAAATTAAAGCTAAATATAACCATATTTAAAAAACTAAAAGTAACCGCAGGAAGCTAAAAAATTCCGTGTTGGGCTCCATTAGTAAGTATAAGTTCGCCTACTTAAATGTCAACAGTAGTTCTTTAAATATGGTAGACTAACGCAGTCAAAAAGTTAATTCTTTCCCCTCCCTGATGCCGTCATAATTCTGTCCAATTTTTTTCCTCTTTTAGATGTTTATTTTCACTCATAAGCTTACGTTTTTTGAAGCAAAGCACGCGCTTTACAAATGGGAACAGAAGCATTTGGCCTGTGCAATTATCGGCCGTTTTATCTTTTCGTTAAAAATTATGACCTGGGATAAGCTCTCTGTTTGGCTGTTAATCCAAATTTGCAATGCTGCTGATATCCTCGAGTTAGTGCAGTATTTACCAGAGGAAGGTGTAATTGAAAATTCCATTCTGAGGCTCAGCATAATTTGCCTGCTGCACGCCAGCCAATTGCAGTTTTGCTTCCATAACACCCCTCTACCGGAGATGGATCCAGAAACAGCCTCCCCATCAACCGACGAAGAGCGTGTTTGCGGTCTTTCTCGGGAGTTATGGGAAATCATCCTACCTTTTATGCTGCAAGACTTGCCCTTTCTGTGTTTGCGGTTTACTCTCTACTTTCGATTTAAGGTGAACAGTTTACATCTGATATTTTACACCATTAAAAGCATCCTCTTCCTTCTGACTCAGATCTTTCAGGCTTTGGTCCTGCTCTGCGGACAGTGATATTAGGTTACCTTCTTAAAGTGCTTGCATACACGGGGTAAACAACAGAGACGGTGGATGTTTGTTCTCTTATGTGTCTTCTGACTGTCAGAACTTTTCTGTGTGTTTCTTTCCGGTGCAACTTCAATTTTATGACAGTATTTTTGGTATAAATGTTACAAAATAAACAGACGTCTATATGACAGCCTCAGTCGGCATATATGTAATCTGTAGATTGTAAGAACAGCAGAATTAATTGGATCCATAAATGTTGGGAGCGCTCATCAGCTGCAACTTCTCTTTGCATAACGTGAATAACGTAGCAGAAAATGCAAAGCCAAAATCATACAGAAAAATCGATACAAACAGCAAGGTCATAGGAAATGGCCAAGAGGCTAATCAGTAAAGTAAGGAAGTTAACGCACTGTGGGCAGCAAAAAAGTGGGGGAAAATGTATAAGGCAAAAAAGTTTGCGAAGTGAACTGTGTAAATCTGGGAGAGGTATCTTACCATGTAAAAGCTCAGTTAACCATATGCTCCAGCTGTTTACATAGGACTGGTTTTGACCGCCATTTATAGGCTGCTCCCAGGTGACGCAAGGTACGAGTTGTTTGTACTCAAACAAGCGATCGAAAGAAAATTTTAGGGTCCAGATAATGGTTCGTATCTAGTAAATATTGTGAAATGGAGGAACGAGAAATTCTATGTTCCCGTTTGATAAGCCAACTAGGCAAGCGCTCCTTACCTCTGGTTTCCAGTCGTTTTTTGGACGTTACCAAGAGGCAATGCAGTTTGCTGGTGAGTCTGCATCAGATGCCATTAGGTCGA